CCTGTGCTCTAGGTGGAGGGGCATACTTGATGCATACTGCTTTTTTTCTTCTAAAGATCTCCCATTTTTGGCACTATGTCTTGCCTCCTCCTCTTCTGAGGTATCAGGGCCTGCAATTCCTGAGCATTTCTAGAGTTGAAAATGTCTTTTCGCATTTCTCAGCAAAATCACTCTCTGCAAGGTTTCCTCTGCTAAGCTAGTCTCTGTTGGCTTTCTACCTTTCAAAATTACGTTAAGATCTCTTATTAATCACTATTTCATTTCCTTTTCCTGGTGGGCTTACCACATGTTTAACCAGAAGTCTCGTTTGCTTTTACGAGTTTGCTGGTTTGTGCAATTGAGGTTGTAACTACTCTGAAAAATGTTAAAAGCCACACGGATTGAATTTCCTTGTGTGACTGGTTTCTCTTTAACATATACAGCTGTTTTTAAAGTTTATTTATTTATTTTTGAGAGAGAGAGAGAGAGAGAGAGAGAGAGAGTGTGTATGATCAGCGGAGGGGCAGAGAGAGAAGGAGGAGAGAGGAGAGAGAAGGAGAGAGAGAAGAGAGAGAAAGCATCCCAAGCAGGCTCTGCACCACCAGGGCAGAACCCAGCCTGGGGCTCGAACTCACGAACTGCGAGATCATGATCCGAGCCGAAATCAAGAGTAAAACGCTCAACCGACTGAGCAAATACAGCTCTTAATGTAGAGTTGTGATAAAAATAATTGTGTGCAATTTATTTTTTTATGAGCATTTCCAGTCCTTTCTGGGTCAGGACTAAACCTATAAAAAATGGTCAGTAGCATTCTTTTGAAACTTGCTGAAGTTAACGTTTCTGCTTCATTTGTGGTTGCTCCCATAGAGACACCATAGTAACTGTAACTCTTGGCAGGGCTTGGAAGTTTCTACATTGACTTTCCTGTATGGAAGTTTGCTCTCTCACACACACACACACTCTTATTCTTTTGCAGTAAGTGGAATACCAGCAGGTTAGACTGATTTACATTTTGGACAACCTAATTTTGGATTTGTCATTAAAAAGAGTATGGAACAGAATTCAAGATCTATTTCCTTTTGTTGAACAGGAATAGAATACTTATAAAATTCCTAATTGTTCCAGTCATGCCAGTAAATGGAACTGGTACCTTCTAATGGTTTATGGTTATGCTTTACTGAAGGTGTTGAATGGGCTACATGCATTTTCTTATTCTTTTTTTTTTTTTTTATGTTTTTATTTTTTTGAGATAGAGACAGAGCATGAGCAGGGGAGGGGCAGAGAGAGAGGGAGACACAGAATCCGAAGCAGGCTCCAGGCTCCGAGCTGTCAGCACAGAGCCCGCCGCGGGGCTGGAGCTCACGGACCACGAGATCGTGACCTGAGCTGAAGTCAGACGCTTAACTGACTGAGCCACCCAGGCGCCCCGCATTTTCTTATTCTGAGGGACCAAATGGGATGAAATGAAAGAGCAATTTTAAGAAGGGGTCCCCAGCCATGTGAAGGCTTGGATTAAAGAAATGTTTTTCATGTGCCTACTGTGGGCCACATGGATTCCTTTGTGATCTCTTTTACTTTGGAGTAGCTACGAACCCTTTGCAGATATGAACCTAGGGCCTTCATCTTCAGTTGAGGGCAAAGCCAAAGTGGGATCCCAGGGCATGTGCATTCTCCATTGTGCTGCCTGGGGCTTTAGGCTGCTTTTCCCAGGTTGGGTCCCGTGTTTCCTTATGCTTTGCTTCCAGGTTAGCGAGAGCCAGTATAGCACAGTGGCTAGCATGGGCTCTGAAGCCACACTGCCTGCATTCAAATATTCACTCCACCATGTACCAGTTGGGCCCTGTGCCTTAGTGTTTCCACCTGTAAAATGAAGAGCATGAAATGATAGTTGCTTGGGCAATTAATATTATAAAGCACTTAGTATACGCCATAAAAGTGTTTACTAAAGAAATAGGTACATTCGGGGAGCCTGGGTGGCTCAGGCAGTTAAGCGTCCGACTTCAACTCAGGTCATGAACTCACGGCTCGTGAATTTGAGCCCTGCGTCAGGCTCTGTGCTGCCGGCTCAGAGCCTGGAGCCTGCTTCGGATTCTGCGTCTCCCTCTCTCTCTGACCCTCCCCTGCTTGCACGTTGTCTCTCTCTCTCTCTCTCTCTCTCTCTCAAAAATAAACAAAAACATAAAAAAACTTTTAAATAAATCGGTACATTCTGTTAAACTTCTAGTCCTCCTACCATGCTCAGTGCTTAAAAGAAAGCAGGTATTATCTTTAGGCCTTTCCATAAGGGAGAGTTCTATGGAAACGGAGATGTGTATAGAGCTGAGAGCGTTTCCCTTCTTTCATCTTCCCAAATGAAAGATGTGGGTCAGATGGGTAATATCCTTTAATGAAAATGTCACTTAGCGGTGCCCACCCTCGAATGGGTGTTCTTAAACAAAATCTAAGTGCTTATAAGACTCACACCCAGATATCCTTGAATAGCTACATAGAAACTTAATAAGAGTGAAAAATTCTGAGTTGTTGGGCTGGAATAATCAGATGAGACTTGGCGCAATATTTTGTCTTTATTCTGTAAAGTGAGGAGAGGGAGGTACAGGACTCCAAATGTATGTGATCTTTATAATGGTTAAACTCAGTTTAGTTGGCTAGCTCAAACCTGGAATGTAGGTGCAGATGTGCTGACATTAAAAATGGAAAGATGTAACAGGTGAACATCCTCCGATATTGTCTGCCTGAGGAAAATCCCCAAGGCTGCCTATCTGTGCACATAAGCAGCCATGAGATTGTAGGGACCTTCGGTCAGGGCTTTGTGGTTTTTTGTCCACTGGCCATTGTAACCTTTTACCCTGATGGTGAATAAATCAAGGACGGTCGGTGCCACACTGCACCGCAGAGGTGACTTTTTTTTTTTTAAGTTTATTTGTTTATTTTGATATTTTGAGAGAGAGGGAGAGAGAGAGAGAGAGAGAGAGAGACAGACAGACAGACAGACAGAACCATTGGGTAGGGACAGAGAGACAGGGGGCAGAGCACTCAAAGCAGGCTCCTCTGTGCTGACAGCACGGAGCCCGAGGTGGGGCTCGATCATGACCTGAGCCCAAATCAGATGCTTAACCGACTGAGCCACCCAGATGCCCCTAAATGGAGGACTTAAGACAAGTATTGTTATCACTTGTGGGCAGGTGATCTGCCCCAGGATGTCATCCCCAGCCTGTACGGACTCCGGCATAGCACGTCTGTTTCAGAATACCAACGATTCCACATGGTTTGGGGCACTGAATGGTTTCATCAACTGAAGGTTAACTTTTGTTTGCTTGGATAATAGACAAAGTAAAGGAGTGAAAAGAGAGTTCATAGTCTGAGGGGTGAACAGACTGAAAAGGATGGGGAGACGGTTTTATATCAATCTGAGGGAAGTATCTGGAGTAATTTTAGTCAAACGCTGTGTGCTTACGCTAGACTTCCAGAGGCTCAGTCACATGATGGATGGGTAAAGAGCCTTGACTGGAGATCGGTGGCTTCTGAAGAGGCCGCAGTTGAAGGTTCTTTCACCAGGCAATTGTTTGGTAATCATTTTGATTAATGAGGTTGTGTGGCAGAAAAGCAAACAAAGCCGAGGCGGCTAAACTGAAGATCAGGTATATGCGGGAGCGAGAAACATTGGGGGGCGCCCGGCAGACCTGCCTTCACATTAGTTCGGTTGCTAATTTGGGGAAGCATTTGATTAATATTTGGGAAGTTATGGTCAGGAATTCCTCCATTTGTTACTTCCCCTCACCGGGAAGACCCTGTTGGAATGGTATCCCTGTATGTAGCTATCCAAGTGGTCGGAATTTTTGACAACAGTCCAGCCCAAAGCTGGTGCTATTAATAGGTATCAGTTGAGTATCCATTGCAGGGAGGAAGACGAGAGGCGACATTATGTATCAGTTAAAGGCTAGGCCCTGGAATGAAACTCCTGGGTTTGATTCCTCACTGCACCGTTCACAGGCTTTGTGATTTTGAGTCAGTCGCTTAACCTTTCCGAACTTCAGTTTTCCCATCTACGAAATGGGAACAGTAATTGCTCCCTCCTTGCTAGCTGCTCTTGTTAACACTACAGTTGTTACTGATTTTGTTAGCTGACCAATGACTGCAGGAGGAGTGCAAGGTCTAAAGTACCCACACGCTGGCCCCTTTCTGGGTCCTTCTCACATCCAGTATGAGTGAGATGAGTAAACCAAATTTCTCAGTGGCATGAGACATTTCTGCCTCTGACTTCAGTCTTTCTCTCCGGCAGCAGCTTTCCGGTGAGCACTGGTGACATCAGTCCATTCTTTCTCGTGTATATTTTTTCCTGGGTCACTACCTATGTAATCAAGGTTTTCTGGCTTATCACTGTGACTAGATAAACTTTTATTGGTTCTCTTCCATTACCACGGGCTGTTGGCTAAGAGATCTGATCTGTCACAAATGGAGGGATTTGCCTCAACATTCTTGAAATCTCCCTGACCAGGGCAGTGTTTTAGTCTTAATTAAGACAGTGCTACGGAGGGGCAGGGAGTCAGGAGTTACATCCCTGGATTGAGAAGAAAAGGACAAAAGAGAAAAGGCTGAGACCAAACATTTGCCGAGCAGTTCAGCTGGTTCAAAGTTGGCTTTGTTTAACGCCCAACTTCTCGGATTTTCCTCGGCTGAGTGGGCTTGGTGGAACGCTGGCTTGAGAGTGTTGCTTAGCAATGGGATTTTGTGGCACCCAATTCTCAAAGAGTCAAGCAACCCATCACCTGCCTCCCCTCCACCAATCCTCAGCTGCCTTCACCAAGCCTCCTATTAGACAATCAAGTGTATGCTGGAGGGAGGGACCGAGCGAGGGGGCAAAGTTTAATCATTGAACTAAGCAGCCTGGAGGTATTCAATCTGTAGCACCTAGTTCCTGGAGGCCTCCAGCCTGACCGGGAGTGGGCAGCACTCCAGAGACACGGGAGTAAACACTGCACAGAAATCTCTGCCCATCTCAGGAGAAACCAAACTTGGAAAAAATGTTTGCCGTACACTTGATGGCATTTTACTTCACCAAGCTGAAGGAGGATCAGATCAAGAAGGTAAGGACTCGCAAAGCTCAGAGATACCTGGCTCATTCTTGACTGAAAGAACTAATTGATACCGTGGCTGCATCCAAAGGGACTTAAGCAAGCTTATTAGAGAAGACCCAGGGAGCACAGGACCAGCAAAGAGCTCACGGAGTGGGGTGCGGAGCAAATCTCCCACAGGCTGGGCATTAGACATTGTCCTCGGTCTTGCATTTCACTCTGCACTTCCTGGCAGATATCACTGGGTGTGGATGAGGCGAAAGTCTTTAGAAAGGTGAAAGACAATCATGTTTGATGTCGGGGATGTTTGAGGGGAAAGGCTACAAAGGAGGGGACAGAAATTTTGAGAACCTTTCAAGTAATTCACATGATTCTTCATGTGCTTGAAAGAATAGAAGCATGGGAACCAACCAAGAGGGATGTGGGTTTTGATGTACAATAGTTGAAATATTTATTATTGCCATGGCTGTTGGCCGATGGTAGGCTGTGCGTTATTCCGCCACTTTGCCCACGAAACCTCTCCACAAAATTGATTCCACGGTAGGCTGCTTAAAAGTTGCCAAGGCTCACCATTCTCTGCTGGCAGCCTGGAAGGAGCCCAGCCTGCCACACCAGCCACTCCAGCTGCCGAGGCAGCGCCCTGGGCACTAGTGTCTCTCAATTTACAGATAACAGAAATCCTCTCAGGAGGCGGACTTAGCCAAAGCCACCCGAGTATTTAAGGTGGAGTGAGGATTAAACCCAAGTCTCTGACTCCCCTAGCATTCTTTCCATTGTGCCGTGATGCCTCCAGGCTTTTCAAACACAGAGAGGAAGCATGGTCCCTTACAGCCCTCATGTGCTTGGTGGGACAAACCTCCACTAAATTCTGTTCATTAGAGATTTGGGTTACAAGTTACAGCAAATCTTAAAGTATTGTGAATCAATCTGATTTAAGCTGTCTTAATTTTCACTTATTGATTAGTTTCAGGGAGTCCTCTACTGGCTTCTTGAGGAGGTAGAAAAGTCCTAAAGGGTACAACTTAAAGATTCACTTTCCATTATTACCTGCTTAGTAAAGAAGAAACCTGCATGTATCTCTACAAAACCCAAGAGAGAAGTCTTTGGAACCTTTCCATTTGGTTCTGCGAATTAGTTTCATTTCCTTGGTTCCTTTTGTTACATCCTAGAATCAGGTGGGACCTGCTTGTCCACCAGCCCCAGGTTGCAGCCTCCACGGATTTGTTCGGGTCCTCTGCGAGGAGGGTGAGCCTTTGTCAAGGCCTGAGGTTGACCCTTCCCACCTCCCTCCTCTCTCCCCTTCAAGAAAGCTGAAGAGTGAGCTGAGGAGGGGTAGTCCGGAGCACCTTGTGGCCACCTGAAGTAACAGGTGACTGGGATAGTACGGGCATCTGGTTTATTGGTTGCTGGATGAGTCACAGGTTCTGAGAACACGGGCTCGTGCCCTCCTCCACGTGGTGTAAACACACCTGGTCAAAAGGCACAGGCCCTTTCTTTCTCTCCAGGGTCAGGTAGTCTATCCCCTCCTTAGTTTCTGTGCTTCTTGCCTCCAGAGTGTCAAGATCCTGGGCCATACTTGCCTGGGAGGGTTACCGTTTAGACCCTGGAACAATTTTTTTCAATCTCCCTATACCAATGTTAAAACAAAGACCAAACAAAGTAAAACCAGAAGGGAGAGAGGGAAGGAAGGAAGGAAGGAAGGAAGGAAGGAAGGAAGGAAGGAAGGAAGGAAGGAAGGAAGGAAGGAAACACCACTGTGATAGCTTCTTTTCCAATTCAATATATTGACATTATTTGACCTACTGATAACATTGGGCTGACTCTGGTCACTGACCTGCAGATTGTTCACTCATAAGAGAAGGGCTGGTTAGGTTTTCAGTATGTACTTTTTACGGTTCAGTAAGTCAACATTACGAAAAGGGAAAATGTTACCTTTATTCCCACCCCTCTCACAAACACTGTCAGATTTGCCCGGTGGAAGCTGTTATGGTATGTTTTTACAGTTGTATTTCTATCTCATCTACAATTCTGACTCTTGTGTCCTTCACTTATTGTTATATTGTAACCACTTGTGTACATTTCTCCCATTTCTTCATTATTATCATTTTATTATCCTCTGATAGTCAATCCTGTTGGATATACTGTAATTTAATCTTTTCCCTCTTGTTGGACATTTGGCTACTTAAAAACATATTTTTTAACGTTTATTCATTTTTGAGAGACCGAGAGAGACAGAGTGCAAGCGGGGGTGGGGCAGAGAGAGAGGGAGACACAGAATCCGAAGCAGGCTCCAGGCTCTGAGCTGTCAGCACAGAGCCTGATGTGGGACTCAGACTCATGAACCATAAGATCATGACCTGAACGGAAGTTGGATGCTTAACCAACTGAGCCACCCAGGTGCCCCTGACATTTGGCTACTTTTGAAAACATTTTTTAACAGTTAAGATATTGTTATGAAAAACACTGGAATGTGTTTACTGTTATACATCTTTGTGATCATCATAAGGTTAGATTTTCAGAACCGAAATCACTGGGTCAAAGAGGTGAACCTTTTTATGACTCTTGATTCATATGGGACCTTTGGACTAAGTGATCTCTAAAGTCACTTCCGGCTCCCACATTCTGTCATTCAGCAAGTCTGAGCTTACATTTTTGAATTTGCTCTTGTATGTTAAATGTACCGTGTGTTGGCTCTTTTGTTTAGAAGATATCCTGTTTCACGGTCTCAGAGTCTTTCCAAATGTGTGCTTGGTTTTCTGCAACTCAAACACCCGCCCTTAGTGCCTGCAAAGGATGTGCCTGGTTACACAGGCCCCAAATCACCTGTTTGGATTTACAATACAGCTTTCCCTCCCCAACATATGTTTCATTTTTCCCGTCTAGCCACTGCACTAGGTCCTGTGGGAGGTACAAAGAATAAACAAGAAATTGTTGCTAAGCTGACATTCTTTCTGTCACGACTTGAACTTAGTGAAACAGCAGGAGCGGAAACCCAAAGGTCTGAAGGACTCTTAAACTGCAGCTGGCAAATGACCCCAATGGGGCTTCAAACCCATGTCTTGTACGTGAGGGATGACACTATGGGGACGCGGGAGAAGTTCTGTTGGGCGCTGAGCAAAATGAGCTGTAGGTCCAAGGGCGCATTTCAGGGTCCTTGGGGTGGAAAGGGAGCAAGTTTAGTTCCCGTGTAGTACATCTCACCCTTCCCCAAGCCCCAATTACTTGGGTCATGTCCCTTCTGTCGGTTTTCTCCGTGTGTGTGGCTGTGCCAACCAATTAGTCATAAACAGACTCAGGGTGAACAGGAAGCCCTTAATGAAGCATGACCTGGTTCCATCCTATCTCCTCAAATACACTGAAAGCCCAATTGTCCTTTTTGCTAATGGCTCTCTGATGGTTTTCTGGCCTCTCCCTGGCCCCCAAGTCCCTGGAGCCATGTGCCATTTCACTGGCTTGGGTCTCCATATTGTCCCCAGCCTAAGCTGGGACGCCGCCCAGTAGGCCTGGCTGATGACTAGGCACCTGTCCTGTGATAAAGGTCATGTGGCCCCTGCACTTTCGGTGTAATGTCTCTGTTGGGCTCCTGTGTCCTGGACAGAGCTGTGAAGGAAAACCAGGCAAAACCAGACTGGATTCTAGTCCCACGGCTGCCGTTCACTTACAGCTCTCCCAGTGTTGCTTCATGACTCTGAGGCTTGGAGTCCTCATTTCTCAACCAGAAGCAAGAATTCTGGCCTCACCTGGCTGCCTCAAAGCCATGTCAGGGAGATTGAACGAGGTTGCCTACATGAAAGCACTTTGTAGACTGCAACGAATGTTCTTAGCCTTTGAGAAAAGTGTGGGAGAGTGATTCCTTTAGGAATGTGCTGGGATCAAGTCTGCTTGTGACTTGGGTGGGTGGAGAGGCTGCTCAGTATGTGTACATAAAGCAGGAGGGGCAAATACAGGGCATCTGTGCCACTGTCCCTACTCGTGACCCCCTCAGTCATCTGTTCCAGTAAGCCCTGGGAATCCAGGCTGTCACTACCAAATGATGAGCGTTACCATGAAGAGGAAACTGTTGTACTGAGTGCAGCCAGAGTGAGTTTTATAACGTCCCTCCATTAGGGCAGTGGTCCTTTGCCCACTCATTTGAAAATGAGTGTTTCCCACTCATTTTCAGGAGCAACTGGGGCTGGCTTTAAAAATTAAACTTCATCTTGGGGCGCCTGGTGGCTCAGTCGGTTGAGTGTCCGACTTCGGCTCAGGTCATGATCTCACGGTGCATGGGTTGGAGCCCCGCGTTGGGCTCTGGGCTGACGGCTCGGAGCCTGGAGCCTGCTTCCGATTCTGTGTCTCCCTCTCTCTCTGCCCCTCCCCTGCTCATGCCCTGTCTCTCTCTGCCTCTCAAAAATAAAGAAACGTAATAAAAAAAAAATTTAAAAAGAAATTAAACTTCATCTTAATTGGAACAACCTCAGTTAAAGCAGAATGACAATTTAAGGAACTAGAATTTAGATTGCAATTGGAAACTAAATTTAGCTGAGCTTCCTAGCAGCCCATAAACAAAAGGAAACAAGTTTGGATATATATTGTCATCATTGGAAGTGAAAACTTCCGTGCTTAGGAATTTACCTTTAAAACTATAGCTAGTCTTTTGTAGTGGAGAGGCAATGAGACAACGGTGCAGGCCCTGGGCTAGGAATTAGAAACCCTGAATCCTTTGTACCTTTTGCCCCTCTATTGTCCCATCAGAAAAATGGAAGAATCCTTTCTTCCTCAGAGCTTGCCCTTCGGAGGAATAAATTTCTACCTCCCAGCCTTCCAATCCATTCTGTTCTTCCAATTCCCCACTTTGTCTCCAAGATGTGAGGGGTCAGGCAAGGAGCTTTTGGGAATCGACATCATGACTGTCGATGTCCCCAGAGTCAGAAATGCAGCTTCGTGATGGGAGTGGAGGACAAGCACCCCTAACAGGGAACCCTGGTCACCCTGGTGTCTGTTCCAGGTGGACAGATTCCTGTATCACATGCGGCTCTCCGATGAGACCCTTTTGGACATCATGGCTCGGTTCCAGGCTGAAATGCAGAAGGGCCTGGGGAAGGACACCAACCCCACAGCCTCCGTGAAGATGCTGCCCACCTTTGTCAGGGCCATTCCAGATGGCTCAGGTGAGTGGGTCTAGGGGCTGCCAGGGACCCTGATCTCCCTGCTTTCTCCCTGGCTGATGGGTACCTGTCCCCTGGCTTATCTCTCCAGCCCTCTGTGCACATTCCTCTCCAACTCTCTATGCTTCTGTCTAGTCAGTACCAAAAGTTTTGAACCAAAGTTCAAATGTACCCGGCTTTTTCTCCGCTCACCTTGGCCCCACACATTTTGTTTATTCACTTGCTGGGGCATCCAACATTCTTCCTCTTGTGAACATCAACCTGGCTCTTCAGTCTCAGGGTAGCGGTCACTGCCTCCATCTAGGAAGCATTCCCATGCTGGGTCTCCCTACTGGGCCAGCGCTCCCTGAGGGCAGGGTCTGTTTCTTCTTCACCACAGTGTTCTGAGCACCTAGCAAAGTGCCTGATGCACACTAGGCCCTGAAATATTTGTTGAATGGATAGTAAGTGGTGTTTCATGCCTAGGTATCTAGATTCTAGGCCCAAGGTGCTAAGTAATGGAAGATAAGGTGATGTAGTGGGAGGAAGAATAAATGACAGTTCAAGAAACCTGGGTTCTAGGCCCATTTCTTGGTGACCTTTGTCCAAACGTTTAGCCTTAGTTTCTTTATCTGTAAAATGAGAGAGTTGGCCTCTGTATTTGTTTTCTGTTTTCTGCTATAATAAGTTACCACAAACGTAGCAGCTTAAAACCCACCCAAAATTTATTCTCTTACAGCTCTGAAGGTCAGAAGTCTGAACTGGGTCCCACTGGGCTATAATCAGGCTGTCAGCAGGGCCATATTCCTTTTGGAAGCTCTGGGGTAGAATCTCTTTCCTTGCATTTTCCACCTGCATTCCGTGGCTCATGCCCCTTTTTATCTCCAAACCACCTGTGGAGCATCTTTAAATCTCTCTCTGACTCTGATCCTTCTGCTTCTCTCTTCCACATTTAAAGACCTTGTGATTACACATTAGGCACGCTCAGATAATCCAGGATAATCTTCCAAAATCAAGGCCAACCCATGAACAGTTTTAATCCCATCTGTAACCTTAATTTTCCCTTGCCATGTAACTAACATATATACAGATCTGGGGATAAGGATGTGGACATCTTTTTTTTTTTTTTTTTTTTTTTTTTTTTTTTTTTTTTAATTTTGAGAGAGAGAGAGAGAATGAGCATGAGCATGAGCCTGAGGCAGGGCTTCATACCACAACCCTGGGATCATGACCTGAGCCGAAATCAAAAGTCAGATGCTCAACCGACTGAGCCACCCAGGCATCCCAGGATGTGGACATCCTTGGGGAACTATTGCTTTGCTGACCGTAGCCTAGAGGTCTCTAGAGGGAATCCACAAGTTTCCATCCACCTCCTCCCTTCTCAGCCTCTGGGCAAAGCCACAGGAGGGACAGGAACTGGTGTCTACCAGGCACCCTCTGTGGTCAGGGGCGTTACTGTCCCTTAAGAACCCTGAGTTGTAACTGTTTTGCCCAGGTCAGATGAGAACACTGAGGACCAATGAGCTCCCCCAATGGCAGTGTCCCAGTGCTCCCACCAAGCTCCAGCGAGGGCTTTGGGGCCCTTGAAGGAGCAGGGACTGAAGTTTAGGAAACTCCCAGGGACTTTGATTGGATTAGCTGGGTTCTGGGCCCCTGTGGGCCAATGACTGGGTCAAGGTAGTTTCTGCCATTCGAGAGTTCTCCGGGAACTGTGATGTGAAAGTCCTATTCCCTCAGTGGTGGGTGGGTGACATGGTGGACAATTACTCACCCTGGAGGGACATAAGCTTTGGAGAGAGACAGTCCTGTTTAAAAAAATCTGCTGAGTTCCAGATGCTGTTCTATGAAAGTGCCTAGGGGACTGTGGTCCTCGAAGGGTCATCCAGGGCCATTCAGAGTAAGCATCTGAGTCATGGGTGTGTCTATGGCGGGAGGCACCAGGGTGAAGTCCTCCCAGCTTCCTGTGCTTTGGTTCTTCCTGCTGAGGTGTGTCCCCAGAAACGAGGGAAAGTGACTTTGATGGTCTGGAGGCTGTGGGGATAGATGTGTCTTCCTGGCCCTGGCTATTTCAGGCAGGTTTGGAAGTGAAACTGACAAGTCTTAGAAACCCTCAGGCCCGGAGGTACCTCTCCTCAGAGCCTCTCATCATATAATAATTCTCACCGGTGATCCTGTTGCAGTGAGGTCTTGGGACCCAGAGTCCCTGGGGCCAAGTGGCCTTGGTAAGTCCCAGGACCACTGCACTCCTGTCTGCATCAGTAAAAGATCAGGGTTGTTAGGATCTGATGAAGTCATGTGGAGGGAGTGCTTTAAAATCTCCCAAATATTGCCCCAAGTCTTGTGTGGCTCCTGTGAGCTGGTGGTGTAATTTCATGTTTACTAACAAAAGCAAACAAATAAAATGCTACTAATCCACTGGGACCTCCATTTCAAAAATGTGTGCAGGTGCCAGAGAAATCCTGAGTTCACCTACTGTCTGTAATTCCCTTCCTTTTATCCAAACTTACCTGAGAGGGGGTAACTTGTTAGAGCTTAGCTCCCTCCCAGCCTTTCAGTGAGGGAGCTGCAACTGACTGTTCTTACAAAATGCCTTAAAAGCGTTAGCATTTGTGCCTTATCCTCTACCAGTCACGAGGGAAGGGGGACGGGAAGTGCCCATCACATGATTGTGACGGTGATTGTGATGCTGTAGGCCCAACTCCAGATGCTGCTACTGAGGGGGGAGACTTGAAGGGGAGCCCAGGGGGCCTGACGTAGTCAGCTGATATGCCCAGGGGGCTGTCCTAGAACAGGGGTCCCTTGCTTACCTGAGTATGCGACTCAGCTGCAGGGCGCTTGGGTGGCTCAGTCATTAAGCATTTGACTTCAGCTCAGGTCATGATCTCACAGTTCGTGAGCTCGAGTCCCACTCTGGTGAGCATGAGCCCTGGGTGAGCCCCACTTTCTCTCTCTCTCTCTCTCTCTGCCCCTCTTTCACTTGTGCGCTCTCTCTCTCTCAAAACAAAAAACAAAAAGACTCCCCTGAAGCAGTTCCTAAATGTGGTGTGGTTTCTCAGGTCTCTTCCCCTGGAGATTCTGCATCTCCAGGAATCTACACATTCAGTCATCGTGCATCTGTGGGAACAGGAAGGAACAGGGGCATAAACCCTGGGAGTGGCTTAGGAGAAGGAAACCCTGGAGCCTTGGAAAGGTCACAGAATCCGCCTACAGAGGCGGATTGTCAAGGCAACCTCACTCTCTTGGGAGATCGTTATCTTTTTATTTTTTAAAAATTTTTATTGAGATATAATTGACACAACATTGTATTAGTTTCAGGTGTACAACACGATTTGATGTTTGTATATATGGCAAAATGACCACCACAGTGAGTCTAACATTTGGCAACACATGTAGTGACAAATTTCGTTTTTTCTTCTGATGATGACTTTTAAGACCTACCCTCTTAGCAGTTTTCAAATACGCAACACAGTATTATTAACTACAGTCACCATGTTGTACATTACGTCCCCACGATTGGACGGTCATGATAATCTTCATAATTGCTGTCGAGATCCTGACGGCCCCACTGCCGCTATTGCCTCTTCTTCTAGGTAGGTCCTCCCTCCCTCAGGTTCCAACGAGTCCTTTCTCTGGGGTCAAAGTCACAGAAGGGACCACGCCAGGTGGTTTCCATGAAATTGCATCTTGAGTCACTGGTGGAGCCAGGTGATTGCACACCGATAAGAGCACCGGTGTCCAGAGGAAGGGATGAATCCATGCTACGCTACACTGGGTTTTGCATATCACCTCCAACCCGAACCGCAGCACAGGAAGCTCCTCTGTTATTAAAATCCTCCAGTCTATTCTGACTGGTGCTGGAGGCGTTTTCCCCAAATCTCCATCAGAGCTCAGCACTCCCATGCTTCAAATCTTTCTGTGGCTCCCCCTCACCTTCTGGATAAAGCTCAAGCTCTTTGGGGTGGGGCAGTTTTTCCAACTCTTTCCTAGTTTATCCCGAGACTACCTGCGAGCCTCATTTCTGTCACACCTCCCTCTTTCCGCAGAAGCAGACCCTCCCTTCCCTACGTGAGCTCATTCCTTGGCTCCGGGTTTCCTCCCTGGGACCTCCTCTGGCCGGCTGCCTGCCTCCCTCCCTCGCATTCTTCACTACTCTGCTCCTTCGGCCTCCTCTGTGGCGTTCACTCCTGCCCTCCCTGTGCCTTCCTAGCACGTGGCATGTTATCTGGCACAGAGTCAGTGCTCGGTAAATGTTCACACAAGGATTGTGTGATCTTCCCTATTTCCTACTTCAGATAACATCTGCGAAAGCATCTCTTGTTTGGTACGTGATGAAGGCTAATAAAAATTGCACAGTATCAGGTCCCTGGATTCCCTTCATGAATAATAAATGACTCCAACAGGCTTCTTTGGGGGCTGATCTAGGGAGATAAGAATCTTTCTGTCCAAATAATCTCCACAAAAACAAAAGATCCAGCTGGCTGGGTCTATAAATGACTAAGCCCGTGCAACTCTAACTGTGGTCCAGAGACCTGCAACAGAGACCTGGGAACTTGTTTAGAAATATAAAGTCTCGGGGCGCCTGGGTGGCTCAGTCGGTTAAGTGTCTGGCTTCGGCTCAGGTCATGATCTCACGGTTCGTGAGTTCGAGCCCCGCGTCGGGCTCTGTGCTGACAGCTCAGAGCCTGGAGCCTGCTTTGGATTCTGTGTCTCCCTCTCTCTTTGACCCTCCCCCACTCACACTCTTTCTCTCTGTCTCTGTCTCTCTCAAAAATAAATAAACATTAAAAAAAAAAAAAAGAAAAACATAAAATCTCAGGGGTGCCTGGCTGGCTCAACTGAAAGAGCATGCGACTCTTGATTTCAGGGTCACGAGTTCAAGCCCCATGTTGGATGTAGTGATTGCATCCATATGTACATACATACGTATATATACATACATTTTTTTAAAACCCACAAAATCTCTGACCCCACCTAAATTGAATCATGTAATCTGCATGTTAAAATTCTTGGGAGATTCACATGCACATTGAAGTTTGCAGAGCACACTGCTCAGGAGGGCCTGTCTCTAGCTCTTTGAGTGCCAGGAATGGAGAACCCAGGCAAGCCAGGTCAAGAAAGGAGGTCTGTTGTACAAAGACACAGAAAGCAAAAAGGAAGACACACAGGATCTCGTGAATCTGAGGGCAGGAACCGTGGTACACTTAAGCTGCAAGGGAACTAGGAGTCAGAATTTCCCTCCATGGTTTCGGCCTGCATACATAGGGCCACCTTGGCTCCTCAGCTGACCTCTGGTCTGGGGCATCTTCCACTTTGGTTTTTACCACCAACTAGCAATTTCTCACTGTGTTTTATTTCATGTTTCACAAGAAGTAAATCTGAATGGCCAGCTGGTCCCTATATCCATGCAGCCGTGTCTAGGGTCACACTGTACAAAATAAGGCCACTTGGGTGACTAGATTTGTGGTCATGGAGTTTCACTTACATGTGCCTTGGGTGTATGTATATCATGAAGCATGCCTAACATGTAGCCACTTGTCAGGCACAGGTAATTCTATACGAAGGCTTGTTGGTTCAAGAGTTTGTACACCTGCATTCCTATCCCGCATCTGTGGCTGATGCAGACACTGGCAAGAGTCCTGGCAGAAATTCTGTCTGGATCCCGAGTTGAAGTCACCAAAGTGAACTGCCTCAACCTTTTTGTTATTATTTATTATTATTATTATTATTTATTATTCCCACCTTTTTATTAACAGCATCTGCCTTGTACTGGGCTGGGTCTGGCCCCAAATATGAAGATCCTTGGCCCCTTAAGAGCTATCATTTGGTCCCTGTCTTTTTTCCCTTCTGGAGTCTTTTCCCTCTGCCCATGAGATTGAGCCTTGTATGGGGCCGGTTTCTCTTCCCTGCATACCTCCCTGCCTTTTCCTTCTGCCTTACCAGCACTTTGCCCACTCTTGGAGTATCTGCTCTCAGCCTGGTTGTGGCATGCTAGAATAGACTCCATCCTCAAGGCCCATTTCTTCTTTCTTTCTTTTCTTTCTTGTCTTTCCTTGTCTTTTCTTGTCTTTTCTTATCTTTTCTTTTCTCCCTCCCTCCCTCCCTCCCTCCCTCCCTCCTTCCCTCCCTCTCTTCCTTCCTTCCTTCTTCCTTTCCTTTCCTTTCCTTTCCTTTCCTTTCCTTTCCTTTCCTTTCCTTTCCTTTCTTTCCTTTTCCTTTCCTTTTCCTTTTCCTTTTCTTTTCTTTCTTCCCGCAAGTCGGGGAGAGAGAAAAAGTCTTAAGCAGGCTCCATGCTCAGCACAGAGCCTGACGCAGGGCTTGATCCCACGCCCCTGGGATCATGATGTGAACTTAGATCAAGAGTCAAATGCTCAACCAACAGCCACGCAGGTGCCCCAAGGCCCATTTCTAATACCACCTGCCTCAAGTGGGCTTGCATTTGCCTCCACGTTTATGCCCTACAGCGTGACCCAGTGGGCGGGGCCTAGGCTGCAGAGTCTGGCAGGTTTGGGCCACACCCCAGCTCTGCCCCTTACCGGGAGGGCTCAGCTCATGGTTGTACTTCTAGAGTCTCAGCAAGTGGGTATGATGATACCTAATTCATGGGGTGGTTGTGAGATTTAGTGACATTTATTACATGTCCAACTTCTAAAGCAGAGTTTGCCGTATAACAGACCTTCAATAAATGATAACTTTGTTCTTTAATAGAAAAAGGGGAGTTTCTTTCCCTGGATCTTGGAGGGTCCAAGTTTCGAGTCTTGAAGGTGCAGGTCTCTGAAGAGGGGAAAAGAAACGTCCAGATGGAGAGTCAGTTCTACCCAACACCCAATGAAATTATCCGAGGAAACGGCTCAGAGGTATTGGGGCAAGGGCTCTGTGAGGGGGGGTGGGAGGGGGGAAGGCCTTGACATCAAGTTTATAAGTGACCATGCCTTAGCCCAGTGTTCTGTGCTTTCTCTTCTCTGTAGCTGTTTGAATATGTAGCTGACTGTCTGGCAGATTTCATGAAGACCAAAGGGTTGAAGCATAAGAAATTGCCCCTTGGCCTAACCTTTTCTTTTCCCTGCAGACAGACTAAACTGGAAGAGGTAAGGTTCGTGCCGGGGAGGGAAGAAGCTGTGTGGGATTTGGGGTTCAGGGCTGGAGAATGTGGGCAGGTTCAGGAGTCAGGCTGGGAACAGGAGAGGTCTGCAAGAGTTTTCTTGTTTTTTTCTTTTTCTTTTTCTTTTCCTTGTTTTGCACAATGAGGTGGAATTGTGAGGCAAAGAATTTGCAAATGTGGCTGCCTTGATTTTGCACTTGACATGGGCACAGCACACGACAACAGAATAGTTTTTACCCTTTAGTTCTCAGACTTGGTTGCGTGGGAATCCCCTAGAGGGCTTGTTAGACACACATTGCCGAGCCCGACCTGAGAGTGTTTTAATTTGTGGGGACTTGGGTTTGGATTTCTTACAGCCTCCGGGGTGGGGGCCACACTTAGCACGGCTGACATAGCTGACTGGAATAGAGCAGGAAGGCTCATGGAGTCTCACCTCTCCAGTAAGCCCTTAGGAGGAGAATGTAGGTGGGGTCATTGGAGCGACAGTGTTGTCACTACCCAGCTGGGGTCTCAACTCTGTGTGACTCAGATGTTCAACTGATAAACAGGGAGAAGTCAAACCCAATCTATGTAAATCTGCAAAAATAAATAGGGACCATATAAAAGGACAACGAGCTTTCTGGGGCCAGGGGGTCACAGTCAAGAGTCAGGTCTCCCCAGGCCACACCAGTCTGGGGTGGTGGCCCATGATCTCCTCCTGCATGTACTGGTCATGACACCCAGCTGACAATTCATGGAGCACCTTGATATCACGGACGGCCTTGGGATGTGTTTGCTATTGCTGGCATGAGCCACTTTTCAGTGTGGAATAGCGGAAAAGGAATGGGTTTTCATGTCCCACAGACTTGTCTTTGAATCATGGCTCGAAAGAAGCTGTGTCCCCCGGTCAAGTTACTTAACTTCTTGAGCCCTTTGTTTTCCCGTATGTAAAATGGGGATAATAATAGCTACTTGCCAGTCTGAGGGGAAGCCTAGACAAAACCTCTGCGACGTGCCCAACACTGTGCCTGGTGCATCAATGGTAGCTGCAGGGTCACCACAATGATTATCCCCATGCAACTTGTCTCTTGGTGCTTCAGTACCTTGTCCCCCGGTTCAATAGATGTTTCTAGAGGGAAGGTGCTATTTTATATTATTCTTTTTATATTATTCTTTTTCTCCACCCCCAGAATCTGTAGCACAGTGTCTTGTATTTAATAGCTGATTGTTAACTATCTCACAATTAAGAGTTTCAATCATTTACTTGATTCCACTGAATGGGAACTTGCCATGATCAATCTATGCAGGGGATGGGCTGAGGTTCACATTTTTATTATTTTATAAAAACAGGGATTAGGGGCACCTGGGTGGCTCAGTCAGCTAAGCATCTGACTCTGGATTTTGGCCCAGGTCATGATCTCACCATATGTGAGTTTGAGCCCCACATTGGGCTCTCCTCTGACAGTGCAGAGCATCCTTGGGATTCTCTCTCTTCCTCTCTCTCTGCCCCTTCCCCATTCACACATGCACACATGCACTCTCTCAAAATAAATAAATAAACTTAAAAAAAAAAGGATTAGAAAAAATTGGTATAAAGTCTTCAGGGGTGCTGGGTAGCTTAGTCAATTTATCTGACTTTTGATTTTGGTTCAGGTCATGATCCCAGGATCATGGGATCAAGCCCTGCATTGGGCTCCATGTGGAGCATAGAGCCTGTTTGGGATTTTGTCTCTCTCCCTTGCCCCTCTCCCCCACTTGTGTGCGCTCTCTCTTAAAAAAAATTAAAATTAAAAAAATTAGGGGTGCCTGGGTGGCTCAGTCAGTTAAGCGCTTGACTTTGGCTTAGGTCATGATCTAATGGTTCATGAGTTCAAGCCTGGTGTTGGGCTCTGTGCTGACAGCTCAGAGCCTGGAACCTGCTTTAGATTCTGTGTCTCCCTCTCTCTCTCTGCTCCTCCCCCACTTGCACTCTGTCTCTCTCTCAAAAATAAATAAACGTTAAAGTTTTTTAAGTCAAAAATTAAGATGGTTTCAGAGAATGTTAGAAGAGGCCAGTTGGAGTCTGGCTGTGAGGTGTCATCATCTTTGTTGGCTGGAGGAGTAGAGGTCCCAGAGTCGGTAGAGGAAGGGGGAGGAGGAGTCGTTGGAAATAAGGCCTCCAGATTTGAGATCAGATTCACCAAATAGTTAAGCACCTTTTATTCGAGCTCAGAAAGGGAGACCCCAGGAAGAAGGAAGAGACTTCTCGAGCTCTGTTGGAGTTCATTTGAGTTTGAAAGCCAAACTTGTATATTTTCTTGATAACTGGTGGTGAATGTATAGTTTGTTTATCTGGGATTTCGGCATTTATCTAAGTCAAATCCCTGCCTGCATCTTTATGTAATAATAATAATAATAATAATAATAATATTAATGGCACTGTACCTCAGATTTCGGCAGTGTATTTATACTGTGCTGAACTCTTTATGTGTATTATCTCATTAAATTCCCCAAGCAATCATATGAAGTAGCTATGATCATTTCATATGTGAGAAAAACTGCAGCTCAGAGATGTTAAGAGACTTGCCCAAGGCCACACAGCCCAAGCTCACAAGCCCCCACCCACTCTTTCCAGAGACATAGCTCTAGAACTTTGTTTAAAATGGCAGCAAGTGCCTGGAAGCATTTTGACCCATTTTGTGTCATTTCCCCAGTAAGGATTTTCAGGTAACATTTAAACTTGGGAAGAGTGCTTGATTATATGGAGGAAAGGAAAACTGGTTTTTCTCATCAAAGTCTAGTTGTATTTTATAAAATCCCCCCCCCCCCAAAATGCCTTTCAGTGAAGCCTAAAGAAAAGTAGAAAAACTTCAGGCACAGGAAATGCACTAGTAATAACTCAGTGTGGGCACAGCTATTTAATCATGGTTCTGCTGCAGACATAGGTTTTGTGGCACTAAAATAAGGGCTCTTGGAGAAGGTGGGGGCTGACAAACTGAGTGCAGAAGGAGGCGGGAAGGGAAAGCCTTCCTGAGAATGGGGTGGCCAGGGAGGCTTCTTTGTGAAACTACAAAATGATTAAAGAAAATAAGAGCCTGGGACTTAAGAGGGGCGGTCACTTTGCTGTGGTTGTTTTCTTTTGTTGTTTTTAAGTGAGGGAACAGAAAAGTCTTAGCTGGAGAGAAATTTCTTTGTTTGTGTATGTGTTCCTAATGATAAAATGGTAATACTTTTCAATGTAGAAGAGAGAGAGATGAGGGTAGGAATTGAAAAGTTTAAAGAAGAAAACAGAAGTCACCTCTAATCCCAACTCTCAGAGATACCCCCGCTACTTGAATGGTTGGTTTCCCTTCCAGCCATGTCTATTTTCAACACTGATGTTATTGCCGTATGGATAGTTTTAGAAAATATAATTGTATGTACCTTTTTTCCACTTAACTATGTATCACAAGCATTTATTCCCCACACCCCCGTACGCCGTGCCTTCAATAAGTCCCACATGTCTCCAGTACACTTTTTGGGGGGGGGGGGACGCCACCCTAGTCTTTTATTCTATCCCATGAAGCAAGGCTGTTCCCGAAACCAGTGACGGCAGAAGTTAGGGAGAGCTGCCACTAGGTGGCGCTGTGGTGCAGGGGAAAAGACCTCGTGGCCGCTCAGGATTCCGACAACCGTATTCCAGTTGGACCCTTCGCTCACTGTGCTATCTCTAGAGCACTTTCCTTCCTCTCTAAAAAATCCCAGCTTCTTTATCCATAAACTGAAGGGATTGGGAGGGTGTGGTCGGGGAGTTTATGAATTTTGGCTCAGCTGCTTTTGACTGCGGGCAAATCACTTGTCTCCAAAATTCTCTTCTCAGTCTAAAACATTCTGATTATTTGCTATTTTACAAAACTCTTGGGAAACAACAATTTTGTAAAAGGTTCTATTTTGGGGGCACCTGAGTATCTCAGTCAGTTGAGCATCCGACTTCAGCTCAGGTCATGATCTCACAGTTCAGTTTGTGAGTTTGAGCCCCACATCTGGCTCACTGCTTGTCAGGGAGGAGTCCACTGGAGATCCTCTGTTCCCGTCTTTCTGCTCCTCTCCTGCTCAAGCTCTCTCTCAAAAATAAATAAACACTAAAAATATCTATCTATTTTAATTTTTAAGTAATCTCTACACCCAACATGGGGCTTGAACTCATGACCCTGACTGAGATCAAGAGTTGCACGCTCTACCAGCTGAGCCAGTGAGGTGCTCTGGGAAACACCAATTTTAAGCAACTAATTGATCATGCAAATAGAGAACCATTTTTCTAAGTTGAAATTAAGTTCCCAAAGGAGTCCTGCCAGGTAACACCATGCCGGTTCTGTTTCATGGACCTGGCCGACCACATATTCTGCACACACAATGTGTATCTACCATATGCCAGGCCTTTCCCTCAGAGCATTCCTGGGGCCGAGGCAGGATATGACGTTTCTCCACTTCACAGACGAGTAAACTGAGGCTCGGAGGGGTTAAATGACTTGTCTAATATCTTGTGAGTCCAAGTGTTCTGACTCCTCAGCAGTTGTTCTTTCTGCCACCGTGTGTGCTATTTCAAACAGCTCACATGAAATAAAGATGTTTAGATTATTAGGAAAACCCTCCGAAGGAATGCTGAAAGAATTGGGGGGGGGGGTTCAGCTAAGAGAAGAGAAAGCCATGGGGCTGCACTTTATGCATGAAATGTCTGCCACTCGTTTTCAGAACTGAGCACCTTCCTCATTTTCACTGGCTCTGAAATCTTCTCCCAGGGCATCCTGATTTCATGGACCAAGAAGTTTAAGGCACGTGGAGTTCAAGACACTGATGTGGTGGATTGTCTGGCCAAAGCTATAAAAAAACACAAGGTGAGGAATTCACCAGTCCCAGCCCAGTTCTCTTGAGGTGGGGTCTCCTACTCTGCCTGCCCCAGAGGGAGGATCAGAGATGGGATTGATCTTAGGGAAGGTCTCCCTGTAGATGTGACCAATTGTGACCAGTTTGGATGAGCCCATTGGTGAGCCTTGGTTCCAATTGCTGTTGGAAGGTGGCCCAGCCCCCTCAGAGGGTCTTGGTTAGGCCCTATGCATGTGTGATGCTAGCCCCACCTTTCCTCTCTGAGCTTAAAAGACTGCTTTCTTTCCAGTCTGGCTGTCTCTTCTGTTTTCCACTGTCTGTTCATGGGCTATCTTTATTCGTTGAGTAAATTTTATAATAATCTAAATACCTGAAGACATGCTCCTTGCTGAGCCGAAAAGCATACAAATAAACCCAAATTATTTGTTATCCTGACAACGAGGAATATTTTAATGTATACCCTTCCAGTCTTTTTTCTCTTTAAACATGCAGTCACAATCTCTTGTATCTTGTGTTTTTCTCTTATTGTTTCGTTTTACTTTAAAATGTCCCCCCAAACCTTGGGGGAGCCATAAGGTAATAACCCAAGTTGACCTGCCAACACGGGAAACCCAGATGGGGTGTCCCTAGTGCTGCCCACAGAGAGGACTTGGCTGAGGCTGGTTAAGCTGTCCCCGTGGGGGAGGACTTGGGTCCCAGAATAAATATGCTTTCTTTGGTGTTTCTCAGATCAAGACTGCAGTCCTGGTGGTCTGTCACTCATATTTCATTGCATGGAGACCTTCACCCATAAGGCAGGAGCATGGGTTCCACTCTTTAGCTCCCGACTGCCATTCCTCTTTTCTAGATCCCGGAACCTTGATAGAGGCCTTGTTTCTTCCAGGCAGGCCCAGCAGGCAGGGTCTAGTAATTGTCTCAATCACCTTCACCGCTTTCGCTTCCTCTGTGGGGAAAGATAAAGGGATAATGCCTCCTTCTCATCCACTGATGTCCTTTGGGACTTGTGTTCAAGCAGGACATAGACGTGGACATCCTGGCCTTGGTCAATGACACCGTGGGGACCATGATGACGTGCGCCTATGATGATCCCTACTGTGAAGTTGGTGTCATCATTGGTAACTCAATTTGACTTGATTCTCCGGGTTGGGAAAAGGGATTCGTCTGGGGCTTAGTTTTAGCCAACTGAGTAAATTCTGTGGAAGGGTGCTGACACTTCCTATTTATGAGAAGTAACATAGGGAAATGGAAAATTAAAACATTCATCCATCCATCCATCCATCCGTTCATTCAACGAGTATTTACTGCATGCCTTTTGTGTGCTAGGCCCCATGCTCTGCATTGGGTTTTCAGTGGTGAGTTAATACTTAGAGGTTCCTGAGCTTTCAGTGGGCAAGTGGGGGGAAGGCCTGAAAGGTATAAACAAATAATAGAACTGCAGGTGGCGGTGAGGGTGATGACAACAAACAAGCAGGGTGGTGTGACCAAGGGTGAGTGTGGCGAGGCAATCAGGGCAGGTCTCTCTAAGGGGTGACATTTGAGCAGGGACCTTGGTGATGAGGAGGAAGGAGCAAAGTGGAGACAGAGAGGAAGAGAGTCGCTGCGAAGGAAAGAGGAAACCTATGGCCTCTGAGGTGGGATTGCATCTGGGATGCTCGAGGACCCTAAAAAGCTGAATGGGGGCTGCACCAAAGTGAGTGAAGGCTGAGAGTCATAGGCTATTCAGGTCCGAGGGAGTGGACGGGACTGGGCAGATCGCGTGGGACACAGGACAGAGTTACCATAAGGTCTTTGGCTTTTACTCCGAGGGGAGGCAGGAAGGCACTGGAGGATTTGGGTGGGGAATGGGTAAATGGAGTGTGCGTTTTTAAAAAGCTCGTTTCGGCTGCCGTGTCAGCCAAAGAGAATTGACAACTGGGGCAAGAATGGAAGCAAGGTGACCAGCCAAGAGGTCACTGTATCTCCTGTGCGGGCGAGACATGGTGGGGGCCTGGACCAGGGACGTCGCAGCACCACGAAGGTGCCCGGTGGGTGGTTCTCGACACCTGAGCTGTGAGGTAGTCTGCCAGACGCTGGCCTTGAGAAGGCAGTATGGGGGACAATAAAACCAAATGCATTAGATTTATCGACTGTTCTTGAATATTTCCGGCCACCTCCCCGTTCCGTTACCACTACTGGGGAGAGTTTTCTGAATTGCTTTCTCTTTGGGCAGGATCCCAAAGGGCAGGATCTTTGCACCCAAGCGGCTTGATCTGCCTTCCCATTTCCGGAGCCCTCAGCTCAGAGTGGGATGGGTGCTTGCCAGTCACATCTTCTAACCGCTGTCACCGTGTCTTGGTGACTACGTGTGGCACCCTGCAGACTGGGAGCCACGCCTAAATAGAGTCCACACTTTTCTTAGAAAAGCTTACTCTAGGTACTGTATTACATTCTGCTTCTCTCATTTCTTATTTCTCATGTTGGCTTTAAAATCCTCAGACCAGAGCATCAGGTAGGGGGAGATCCTTTAAAAAAATAATTTTTCTAAGCAGCTTTATTGAGGCGTAAAAATCCTCTCATTTAAGGGATACAATTCAATGATTTTTAGTAAACTTTGAGTTTCCTAACCATCCCCACAATCCAACTGTAGAACATTTTCATCAGCCCAGTAGGTCCCAAACAGATTGTGCCCTTTTGTAGTCACTCCCCAATATTCGAGTGTTTGAGGAATCTCCTTGGAGTGATTTTGTGTTTGAATAATGGAATGTTGCTTTCTTATGTCATAGCTAATCACTGTCAAAGATAAGGATATAGCTTATGCTAGGAACAATTTGTGGCAGGCCATGAGTACAGAATATTTTTAGTATCAAATAGAGAAGACGCTAAGTAGCTTAGAGAAAGGATTAAAAAAATTAACAGTAGGTTAGTGATTTTTTTTTTTTTTTTTAATTTCCAAGGTTAGGTTAACTCATCCTCCTCTTTGTAAATGTGCTTTGTCAGCTCTCATGCATATTCATCAGGGACTTCTTCACAATCGACCCCATTCATGACAGCAAACCATTAACATCTGAGAAGTGTAGACTTGGCGTGTCAGCTTTATTCCTCATGAACTCCAGGCTTGCCAAAGCTGTTCCCTCAGTGAGAACCAGGCCCGGGAAGTGGATCAAAAGCACTTTGTGGTACATTCAGAGGACTCTCAGGCAGTTAAGAGTTCTCTCTGTCTTTGCCCAGCTGGGAGCCCTTCCGTCTTTGCGTATTCGCTCTGATCCCTTGTTCAGGCACTGGCACCAACGCGTGCTACATGGAGGACATGAGCAACATTGACCTGGTGGAAGGCGACGAGGGCAGGATGTGCATCAACACGGAGTGGGGGGCCTTTGGGGACGACGGGGCTCTGGAAGACATCCGCACCGAGTTCGACCGGGAGCTGGACCTTGGCTCTCTCAACCCTGGGAAGCAGCTGTGAGTCCCCTCGTGTGCTCTAAATCGGGGCGTCGGAATTTACAGTAAATTGCCAGTCCCTCAGGTACACCTTATACCCGGCAGATTTTCTAGATGTGACTAGTTTCCTGCCACGATGATTCTGCAAGGTGAGGCTTATGTTTCAGTTTCATTGGACACCTGTGGAAAGTGAAGGCAAGGAAATGGAGTGATGCCCCCTAGGTCATAATCCTGATTCAATTTCAGTCCGTATTTCTGGAGCACATATGTGTGAGGCAGGGGAGATACGCCGTGAACCCAGGGACTCGGGTCCTGCCCTCTTGGTGCGTTCGGACGAGGGGCCATAGAGCAGACCGATGTGGCCAAGGGAGCAGGACTCAGGCAAGTCCCTCACTGGTGTTTCCAGGGCTCCCCTGTCACCCCACTTTCTCAGAGGCCTGATCATAGCACCTGGGGGTCTTTCCCAGCTCTCATCCCACACTCACCAGTGGAGTAACTATTGGGAGTTTGCCCTAGCTCTGCCTGCATGCTGAGCTCCCAGAGCTTGCCTTAACAAGCAGAGTGCCTTACACACTGTTGCAGCTCATGAAGTGTTTCTTGGACAAAAAGACATTTTTTAGATAATTTTTTTTTGTGGGGCACCTGGGTGGCTCAGTCAGTTACACATCCAACTTTGGCTCGTTCATGGGTTCGAGCCCTGCGTCAGGCTCTGTGCTGACAGCTCGGAGCCTGGAGCCTGCTTCAGATTCTCTCTCTCTCTCTCTCTCTCTCTCTCTCTCTCTCAAAAATAATAAATAAACATTAAAATTCTTTTCTTTTTTTGTTTTGTTTTGTTAGTTTTTTTCCTTTCAAAGTGAAAGAATAGTTTTTTAAAATGTTTACTTGTTTATTTTGAGAGAGAGAGAGAGAGAGAGAGCATGAGCATGGTAGGGATAGAGAGAGTGAGAGAATGAGAATCACAAGCAGGCTTGTTGCTGTCAGTGTAGAACCCGTTGTGGGTCTCGATCCCACGAACTGTGAAATCATGACCTGAGCCAAAATCAAGAGTCGGTCACTTACCTGACTGAGCCACCCAGGAGCTCCTGAAAAGCCTTTCTTAAAAAAAATAGAGTAATGTCAAACTTACAGAGAAGTTACAAAAATGGGACAAAATTCCCCTTCACCCAGATTCCTTAAGTACTAATATTCTCTCTCTGTTTCTGTGTACATGTATATACATACACATATATACAAAATGTCTAAATAGAATTATTTTTCTGAACCATTTGAGACTAAGTTGCAAACATAGTATCCCTTCAGTCCTAAATACTTCAAAATGAATTATTTGCAAACAAGTGTATTGTCTCACATAACCAAAGTATAATTATCAAAATTAGGAAATAAATACTTAATCTAACTTATAGAACTTACTCAAAATTCATTAGCTGCCCCATTACTGTCCCTTATAAAAGAGAAAAAGTTCAGGCTCACACATTACATCTTGTTGCTATTGTCTTTAGCTTCCTTTAATCTGGACATCTTCTGTAGTGTCTCTTAGTTTTTTATGATCTTAAGACATATAAGCCATATATTTTACAGAATATCCCTCAATTGTATTTTCCTGATGTTTCCTCATGATTAGATTCAGGTGGTGTATTTTTGGCAGGAATATCACAGAGGGGACGATGTTTCCTCTTCAGTGCATCACATCTGGAAGCACATGCTGTGTGTTCCATCCCATGTGATGCTACCTCGAATCACTCGGCTAAGGGGATATGCAAAGGTTTCTCTACCAGAAGGTTATTGTTATTCCTTCTGTAAAGAATACGTATCTGGTGAAGCCTGCTTTGAGGCTATGTAAATATCCTTTCTCATTAAACTTTCACTCTTTACTTTTAGCATCCTTTGATGAATTTCCAAATCTATTATTCCCTCCATGTTTATTCGTTGTTATTTTACTGTAAATAACAGCTTTCCTATCTCCTCCATTTATTTGTTTATACTAATATGAACTCATGGATTCTTTTTTTATTTATTTTTTTAATTTTAATTTTATTTTATTTTTATTATTTTTAACGTTTTTTATTTATTTTTGAGACAGAGAGAGACAGAGCATGAACGGGGGAGGGGCAGAGAGAGAGGGAGACACAGAATCGGAAGCAGGCTCCAGGCTCTGAGCCATCAGCCCAGAGCCCGACGCGGGGCTCGAACTCACGGACCACGAGATCGTGACCTGAGCTGAAGTCCGACGCTTAACCGACTGAGCCACCCAGGCGCCCCTTTTTTTTTTATTATTTAATGGAGGGTTCTTCTTATCATTATTTATTTTGATGCTCAAATATTTTTGGACATGACCAATGGAAGCTTCTCCAAACTGGTCCCCTGTGTCCTTAACGATGTGCTCCCATCACTCTTGAAGTACTTCCTTATTTTTCTGGCCCGGTAAGATGTTCCAGGCTCATCGGGATTTTTTTCTATTCCCAGCCATTTTCTCAAGAAGCTCTGATGAATAAATATTTTGAGTCCCTCCTAGAAACGATTCAAACGCTAGAACCGCATACCTGGAAAACAAATTTCTGCTTTGGGCGTACCTGCTCCCCAGCACATACCTGTTTCACTGGTGACACAGAGCAGTCATGGCCCATGAAAGTGGGACCCATTTTTTGGACTTTGTCGTCCTCACTCTCTCCATCTCACTTAAAACAAATTTCATCCCCCAAACCCAACCAGGATTTCTTTTGACTATCTTCTGCTTCTGCAATGTTCTAAGAGGTTTTATAACGAAATAGGTAAAGTTGATTAGAAAACAGGTTGTCCTTGATTTTGTGTCTATTATCTTGGAGAATAAAAATTATATTTAGTTTTTTCCCTGGGAAACAATTAGTAATTGCTTGTTGGATACAAATTCAACGTCAAGGTGTAGGTAGCCTGGTGGGATATGTCATCCACACTATTGTAGAACCTCTCTGGTTCTACAGACACAGCATCTTTCTCTCTGGGACAAAAGCATGGTATAGGATTTGGAAGTGTCTGAAATTTGGATTTGTCATGCCATGGTTGGTGATCTTGGGATCACCTGAAGTCCATGAAGTCAAGATTCCTTATACCTAATATGAGAATGGTACTCCTGTGGCCAGGGGTGATTTGTGATAAAGATCCTTGGATTCAAGCACTTTGTGAGAAGGAAGGAATATTAGGTCTCCTCTAGCATAGTTCTCTCCTTTTATAAATTTTTAAAAAATGTTTATTTTTGAGAGAGAGACAGAGTGCAAGTGGGGGAGGAGCAGAGAGAGAGGGAGACACAGAATCGGAAGCAGGCTCCAGGCTCTGAGCTTTCAGCACAGAGCCCCATGTGGGGCTTGAACCCGTGAACCGCGAGATCATGACCTGAGCTGAAGTTGGACGCTTAACTGACCAAGACACCCAGGTGCCCCCCCTCTCCTTTTATAGATGAAGAGAATGCATCCCAGAGAGAATAAGTGAGCTCCCAAGGGCACCCCGGGCTGGGATGGGGACTGAGGCCTCCTGACCCATGGAGTTGTGTTTCTGTTTCTCCTGCTCTTGATCATGGGCCATAGCTCATGAGCATTGGGAAGGATGCTGCATAACTAAAGGTGTTGCTGCTACTGATCTGTTCACCAAATTGTAGGTTTGAGAAGATGATCAGCGGCCTGTACCTGGGTGAACTTGTCAGGATCATCTTGCTGAAGATGGCCAAGGCAGGCCTCCTGTTTGACGGCAAGAAATCCTCTGCTCTCCACACTAAGGGCAAGATTGAAACACGGCATGTGGCTGCCATGGAGAAGTAAGTGGCTGGCTGGGTCCTTTTCACCTTGACTCTGCAGAAGGTTAGAGTGGGGAGCCAAGGCGTGGTATGATCATGGTAGTGGTCCAGCTGAAGGGACCAGATCTGTCCAGATCTTCACCAGGACAACTTCGGACCTGGACCCAGCTTCAGGTGGGTTGGCGATACCTACCATGGCTCAAGTGTGGCTTCTTGTTGGTTTCATCAGCCAGGGATTCTGTGGTTGCAGGTCAACTCCTTTCTTTTCCTGCCTTCTTCCTCCCTAAAGTGGTCACTTACAACCTTTTTAGGGCCACAGACCTGTTTGAGGGTCTAATTCAAGTTCTGGACCTTTTACCATAAAAATGTACATTTGTACTCAATTTTGCTTACACTATTAGGGCATTCTTGGACCCATTAAAGATTCCCATGCATGGAATCTTAAGGTAAGAACTCCTGCTACAGCAAGAACCTTCTCTACCTGGTGCTGTTGGAGACTGACTTTGGCTTTGGTGATGTGAGACCTCACACAGAGGTCCCTGCAATGGGGACAGGGCTGGTGAAGGCGGCTGGAACCAGTCCACTCAGGGTCCTGTTCCTCAGGCTTAGAAACCCCGGCATTGCCCTGAGCTTCATAATCAGTTTAGATTCTGAGCTCAGCGGAGTGGCATCTGACTCCTAGAGTCTGATTTTGTGCACAGCATAGCAGGGACTGAGTTTCTGTGAAAGGCAGAATAGTACAGGGTGGTTAAAAGGGTGAGCTCGTGATCTAACTGCCTGAGTTCAGATCCTGACCCTTGCAATTCCTGGCTATGCGACTGTGGACAAGTTACCCTCTCTATGCCTCAGGTCTCTCTCTGTACAATAGGGTAATGCCAGTACTTCCCCCAGGATTGTTGTGAGGGTTGTATTAATATGTGTCAAATCTGTAGACAAGTGCCTGGCATATAGTGAGGGCTCAGTAAACGGTGGCTGCTATGATCATTGTTGATATTGTTATCGTTATTCTATTACTAGGTGCCAGCTTATTTTCCCACTCCTGCGAGGTGGGAAATGTGGTTCTCTAAGGGGACTCTCATGGGATGGAGAAATGTGGTCTTCTCACTCCTATTCCCCTGGCCAGGTATAAAGAAGGCCTGGCCAATACAAGAGAGATCCTGACAGATCTGGGCCTGGAGCCTTCGGAGGCCGACTGCATCGCAGTTCAGCACATCTGCACCATCGTGTCCTTCCGTTCAGCCAATCTCTGTGCAGCGGCCCTGGCAGCCATCCTGACACGCCTCCGGGAGAACAAGAAGCTGGTGCGGCTCCGGACCACCGTGGGCATGGATGGCACGGTCTACAAGATACATCCTCAGTGAGTGCCGCCTGCCAGCCTGCATCCCTCACAATGTGCCTCCCCAGAGCAGAGTCCCAGGGTTCTCTCTAAACTCTGCTGCTTCTCTGTGTTGCTGGCACCAACCACGTCCTGTTGGTTCTGAGTTTACAGAGGAAAGAGAGCCTATATTCATCTAGCTGGCTGGTTGCCTTGGGGGATCATTCTTAAATATTCTGGGGCGCCTGGGTGGCTCAGTCCGCTAGACATCGGACCTTTGATTTTGGCTCCGGTCATGATCTCACGGTTGTGAGATTGAGTCCTGCATTGGGTTCTAGGATTCTCTCTCACTCTCTGCCCCTCTCCTGCTTGCAGTGCATGCTCATGCTCTCTCTCTCTCTCAAAAACAAAAAAAGAAAAAAAAAGAAAGAAAAGAAAAGAAATATTTTGCTAAACCCAGTTGCCTGACTAGAAGGGCATCCATCCATATGTTTATCCATCTGTCCATCTATCTATGTTAGTATCAAGTACCTACTATCTGGTAAGATTGGAAAGTAATATACACTCAATTATATATGAGGAAAAATCAGAATGGCAGAGGGTGCCAGGTTCACAGGAAGGATACTGGTAAGAAAACACATAGAAGTGAGAATTTCCTAGAAGGAGGAAGTGTGAGAGTCCCTCTGGCTAATAGAGGTGGTATTGGAAGTCAGGTGATTACACACTGGAAAGAGCTGGGGAAAGAACCCTTCCCATTTGGACAGAGATGATGCTCAGCCAATACAGTCTTGTGGACATGCCCTGCTGATTGAAATATTAATGGTAAAATAGCCATTTCTTGGGGTGCGCCTGGGTGGCTCAGTCAGTCAAGTGTCTGACTTTGGCTCTGGTCACGATCTCGTGGTTCGTGGGTTCGAGCCCCGCGTCGGGCTCTGTGCTGACAGCTCAGAGCCTGGAGCCTGCTTCAGATTCTGTACCACCCTCTCTCTCTGCCCCTTCCCCTCTTGTGCCCTCTCTCACTCTCAATAAACTTAAAAGTAACAGCCACTTCTTTGAGCCTCCAAGCGTCCCTTCTGCTACTCTAGCTGCCCTAGCCCCTCCCCCCAGTCATCTCCTTACCCTCCCACCATCCGGCAACTAAAGAGGTGAACCCAGCAAGGCTCCCCAGGACCCCACTCCACTGCTACACCTGGGTCTCTTCCCATTGACCAGGCATGGGCCTTTATGATTATTACATATTTTGCCATCACCCCTGCCTTCAGATACCCAAAACGCCTGCACAAGGTGGTGAGGAAACTGGTTCCGAACTGTGATGTCCGCTTCCTCTTGTCGGAGAGTGGAAGCACCAAGGGGGCTGCCATGGTGACAGCGGTGGCCTCCCGTGTGCAGGCCCAACGGAAGCAGATTGACAAGGTGCTGGCTTTGTTCCAGCTGACTCAAGAGCAACTTAAGGCTGTGCAGGGCAAGATGCGGACTGAATTCGAGTACGGGCTGAAAAGAGACACCCACCTGCTGGCCACGGTCAAGATGCTGCCCACCTACGTTTGCGGGATGCCGGATGGTACAGGTGGGCCATGCACAGAGCTTTCCAAAACTCCTCAAACCCAGTTAGGTTGTTTTGTTTTAAAAGCCTTGGAGTCGTGTCTGTAATGGAGGGAGGGGGAGTAGGGTAGAAGGTCGGTACTCCTTCTGAATCTATTTGCCTTGGTTGACCCAAGGCATTTGCAACGGAAGAATACCTAAGTGAGGTCACGTGTGTGTGTCTATGTAGTCGAGGACACAGAGTGTACCCCACGCTGTTGGCGAACAGAAGACCCAGGTGTTGTCCCTGGGAGCTGCCATCTGGACACTTGGAGTTGTCTGGCTTGTCTTCTGCCTGCTCCTCTCTCTCTCTCTTCTCCTGGGGCTTGGTTACTCCTCTCTGTCTCTCTCTCATTGCTTTCTGACCCTTTCCCTGTGCTCAGCCCAGAGGAGCCACGAAGCAGTGGGGTGAGTTCTTTAGACAAGTCACTTCACCTCTTTGAACCTCAGTAGCCTTACATGGAAACAATGACCTTTGTAAAATGGTTTTTTATCTTGTGATTTTCTTTGGAATCTTTCATCTCATTTCTTCCTCACGACCACTTCGTAAGTGATGTAGTGAAAAAATGATTCCCATTTTATTGCTGACAACTCGGAGACTCGGAGAGGTCAGATGACATACTCAAAGCCACACATCTGCACCTTGGGTCTCACAGCAACAGAGATCTTTTCCAGCGCTAATATCCTTCGAGTCTGTGTGGGGAGAAAAAATAGGAGCAGTAAAAGACACTGTTCAAGTGTTCATTCTTTGATCTCTTTACTCCTTCTGCCTTCATTTTTCACAATTTCACTAAGTACCTACGATAGGTCGGGCTCTGGTCCAGGCATGGCCAGAGAGCAGGGAGGAAAACACAGTCCCTACCCCTGTGGAGCTTACGTTCTGTTGGGCTGGCGGACAATAAGCAAAAGCCATGAACATTTAGTAAATAATAAACAAGGGCCATGTAGCAGCAGATGCTATGAAGAAAAACAGAGCAGGATAAGGGGTCAGAAAGCTGGCTGGGAGTGATGCCTTCGGCAAATTCGGGAAACAATAGAATGACCGGTGTGGCCAGAACGGAGTGAGAAGAGGCAGAGGGCAAGTTGCAAGGTCACACAGAACAGACTCTGGTGCTCTTCAACGTCAGGAGAAATGAGAGATACTATTGGCCCTGGATGGTAATGGGGGTCGGACTTGACATGGCTTCTTATTGGTCACGTGCAGGTGTGGGAATCCAGGAATGAGAAGAGCAGGGGGCAGGAAGAATCATTTCATGAACACTCCCTCTAGGCCACAGAGACAGGATGGAAACACCCTCCAGAGTTCATTGCAGTCAGTGTAGCCTGGCCTGGATTCACCCTCAGAGGCTCCTTGAGCACAAGTATCCAGTGTGGCCTTTAGCAGATACCAAGAAAAGCAGGCGGCCTCAGTCAGCCTCAAAGCGCCTGCCCAGTGCTCTGACGCTGTGCTTGGTGACGGCCACACTCCTCTGGCTCGAGAGCCCCAAGGGAAAAGGCTCTGAGTCGGCTGTATTTTGGTGTCTCCTCTTCCTCTCAATGCCTCCACGTGAGCCCCTGTTCTGTGGACGCTGGTGGAAGGCAGCTCCAACTTTCTCCACCACAGAGAAAGGCAAGTTCCTTGCCCTGGATCTGGGGGGAACCAACTTCCGGGTCCTCCTGGTAAAGATCAGAAGTGGGCGGAGGTCGGTGCGAATGTACAACAAGATCTTCGCCATCCCCTTGGAGATCATGCAGGGCACCGGCGAGGAGGTGAGCGCCGGGTGGGGGAGTTCTGTGCCCGAGGGGCCAGCCTGCCACCCTGTGTCCCTGCTGGCCTGGCCTGACTGCCACTCTTTCCCTGCAGCTGTTTGACCACATTGTGCAGTGCATCGCTGACTTCCTGGACTACATGGGCCTCAAGGGAGCCCAGCTGCCCCTGGGCTTCACATTCTCATTTCCCTGCAGGCAGACGAGCATTGACAAGGTAAGACAGCCCCGCAGGCTTACAGACAGCCCTGTGGGCTTCTTTCTCCCACCAGGGAACCTCAGCGTACCTCTGAGTCAACATTTATTTCCTGTTTTAAGGGTCTCAGGTTCAGGGCAGCTGGGGAAACATAATCAAGAACTTGATTATGTTTTCTACTAATATTTTCTATTCATTATGTTCCATTTTCACTGGTATTTTTTTGTTTTTTGTTTTAAAGATTTTTTCTTTTTTTTTTTAATAACTTCTATTCTCAATAGTGACACGCTCTCCTGACTGAGCCAGCCATGTGGCCCCACTGTTATTTTTTGGATTGAAGTTCACAAGAGATTTAGGGCAGTATACAGTAAAGGGACACACGCGTAAGAGAGCTGTTAAATGGGAGGTTAAATCATATTATGGAGAGATGGAGAGAGGTAATGACCAGTTAAAGCCAGTTATAACTTTTAGGTAGTAATAATGCCTGTGAACTCCTGGGCGGCCAGTGTGAACAGGGAGACACGGTAGGCTGCAGGGTGTTATCTGTTGAATGAAAGCTTACCGGTGCATCAGAAGTGTATTTCCTTCCTGATATTAGAATCGGAGAAAGAATTTATCACACAAACACTTACTTAGTTGACAATGAAGGACATCATGGATAACAGTTTTAATAAATCATTCATAATAATTTAGAAACGTGTATCACCAAGGCTTTCTTGGAATTCTGGGATAAAAACGCCATTCTCCGGGGGCGCCTGGGTGGCTCAGTGGGTTGAGCGACTGACTTCAGCTCAGGTCATGATCTTGCGGTTCACAAGTTTGAGTCCTGTGTCGGGCTCCTTGCTGACGGCTCGGAGCCTGGAGCCTGCTTCGGATTCTGTGTCTCCCTCTCTCTCTGCCCTCCCCCGCTCATGCTCTGTCTCTCTTTCTCTCTCTCTCTCAAAAATAAATAAACATTAAAAAAAAAAAACACCCAAAAACCCCATTCACCAGCTCATGGAGAGGGAGCACGTGTGCTCCCTGACAGGCTTACTTACAGGGCTGGCGGAGAGGAGAGCACCACTTCTGAATTTATGGGGAGAAGTCTGGTCAACACAAGTCAACCCGAGAGCTCATGACGGTGATAATAAGAATGGCACCAAAGATTTGTTAAGATTTCATCTAATCCATTCAGTGTCCCCATGATGTACGTACTATTTTTGTTTTGTTTTGTGCCATTTCTTTAATTGTAGTAAAATAGATACAACACAAAATTGACCACTTTAACCACTTTTAAGTGTGCGGTTCTGTGGCATTAAGTACATTCGCGTTGTCATGAAACCATCACCGCTATCCATCTTCCAAATTTTTTTATCTCCCCAAACTGAAACTCTATACCCATTAAGTAATAATTCCCCAGTTACCCCTCCCCCAGTCCCTCCTAACATCTAGTCCACTTCCTGTCTCTATGAGTTGGACTATTTCGGGCACCCCATCTAAGTGGAATCATACTGTATTCGTCGTTTGTGACTGGCTTATTCCACTTAGCTATAATGTCCTCGAGATTCATACATGTTGTAGCACGTGTCACAATTTCCATCCTTTTTTAAACCAGTGATAGCTCATTGTATGTATGCATACTATTTTTAATCACCTTGTTGTGGTTAGGAAAATCAGAAGCACAGAGAGGTAGGTGACTTGTCCAAATTGCCACATCTATAAACACTGGTGATACTGGCCTGAGAGGCCAGGCTCTTACACTTCACCCTTGGGGAGACCAGGACCTGGAACCGTGTCGTTGAACCATTTTGGTTAAAATGCACAGCACACCTACATCTATATAATTAAAACCAAAAAATCAAGAAACAGTATTCTTACTGTATGCGTTACACTCCATTTTCTATCCTATTTCCTTTCTCATATGAGAAAGTTGAGCCATGCAGGCCTCATCTGATTGGTCAGTACAAAATCAAACTGAGGCAGAGCTCTTCGGGGCTCTGAGAACAGCGTGGAAACATGCACATCAGCAGCGCCTTCCCACCCGAATTATTCAGAGAATGAGGAGAGAGGGGTTCAAGAGGGTATGTTATCTGGTAATATGGCTGACTCTCTTAAAATTAAAAATGCCAGAATGCTAAGGCCAGAAGACCCATTTCTCAAGATTCTATTTCTCAAACATGTGCCAAGAAGGAATGAACAAGGGTGTTCACTCCTTTTTCATAACAAAACATTAGAAATAATTCAAATGGCAATGGAGGATGACTAAACTACAGCCTATCAGTCATATGGACTTAATTACTTGATTTTTATTTAACAGGCACACACACAGTGCTTGCTCTGTGGTGGACTATGCTCTGAGTGCTTCACAGATATTACCTACCTAACTGGGAGGCAGCAGAGCACAATAGTTAAGAGCATGGGTGTGGAACCACGTTGGATCTTGGCTTCTCCACTTACTGACTGTGTGACCTTAGGCAAATTACTTAACCTCTCTGGTTTCCTCATTTGAAAAATGGAGATAAAAATAGTACTTATTCTATAGGTATTTTTTATTTCTATGCAATTATATTTGAGGAATATTCTGCTCAGGGAAGGAATGTGGGACATCTGTATTAACTGACCTGGAAAGTCAGTTATCTCTCAGATTGTGGGGATGGAAAGTTAAGGGGGACTTTGTCCTTATCAGTAACACTCTACTTTTTCTACAAAAGCAACACATTGCTGTATGACTGCTGCCATTAAAAATTAAAACACTGGGGTGCCTAGGTGGCTCAGTTGGTTGAGCATCCAACTCTTGATTTCAGCTTAGGTTGTGATCTCACGGTTCACGGGTTCGAGTCCTACATCAGGCTCTGTTCTGGCAGTGCAGAGCCTGCTTCAGATTCTCTCTCTCCCTCTCTCTCTGCCCCTCCTCTGCTCATACTCTCTTTCTCTCATAAATAAATAAATAAATAAATAAATGAATAAATAAATAGTGAATGAATGAATGAATCAGTCAATCAATCACCGATGGGGAAGGCAGCCACATGCAGCTGTCCAAAGTCCTGAATGGTCTATGAGCACCAAGACACAGCCACTCCTCCTGACCCAGGACACTTGGCCTCTCAGCCTCTCGGAAGTTCTGACAAGTTCATGGATACACAATTAAGAGGCAGGAGGAGACCAACTGATAGCTGGGAGCAAATCCACTGATGGCTGGGGAGAAAAAAGAAAGATTTCTAAAAAATAGTATTTTTTGTAACTGCAACTAATAACAAAGAGCAATTTTTTTTTTTTTCAAATCTCTAGTGAATCTCTAGTGTTCTATGTACATCCACCAGGAAAGGAACAAGGGAGCCCAGCTTCCCAGGCGCCCCATGTGTGTGTGGTTTTTAAAAGAATAATAGTATAATTCAGCATCTGTATTTGTTTAACGTGTGTTTACTTTACAGTGTATGGTGAACATTTTTCTCTAACATTCAATGTTCTCTTACAGCATGATTTTTTATGACTGTTTAACATTTCCTATATCGATGTACAAGATAATAGATGTATATTGTAATGATAGGATGTCTCTAGTTTTTCACTGTGGAACCATGCTTTGATGGACATTTTGTAGCATTTATCTTTAGTCACATCTTTAAAAAAAATTTGTTTATGTTTATTCATTTTTGAAAGAGAGACAGAGCACAAGCAGGGGTGGGCGGAGAGAGAGGGGGACACAGAATCCGAAGCAGGCTCCAGGCTCTGAGCTGTCAGCACAGAGCCCGACATGGGTCTTGAACTCACGAACTGTGAGATCATGACCTGAGGCGAAGCCCAACGCTCAACCCACTGAGCCACCCAGGTGCCCCTTTAATCACATCTTAATCGGTCCTTGGTTAAATTAGAAATAGAATCCCTATGATCCAGGCCTTTGTTCTGTGAGGTCATGGCCAGGGAACAGGAGTTGACCCTTGATAAATACAAGCTGCTACAGTTGTTCCCCTTGGCAGTGGACCTTGTCTGGGCATCATGCTCTGGGCCCCGTGATAGGCTGCAGAGATGGAGTGGTCAAAAGCACATGGTTTGGACTAGCAGCCGACCACAGCACTTCGAATCTATTGGATGTTGAGATTGTGCAGTGGTCCCAGCAAACTATTATTGCTGAAATGAACTTCTTCTTCTTTCCTTCAGGGAACACTCATTGAGTGGACCAAAGGCTTCAAGGCCACTGACTGTGAAGGGGAAGATGTGGTGGACATGCTCAGGGAAGCCATCAAGAGGAGAAATGTATGTTATGGTGTTAAGGCTCATGTCTCACCTTGCCCCTTCTCCCTGGTCCCTTTCCTCTGCCATCCTGTGCCGAGCCCTGTGACTCCAGTCTCTGCTGCTCCCCCCCACCCCCCCCACCTTGAGCTGATGTGGCCCTCCTGGAGCTGATGTGGCCCTCCTGAGCCTGTTTGGCTTGTACATCCTACTTACAATATGACTGCTTCCTTTGTAGGAGTTTGACCTGGACATAGTTGCGATCGTGAATGACACAGTGGGGACCATGATGACCTGTGGACATGAAGATCCTAATTGTGAGATTGGCCTGATTGCAGGTAAGTGGTCAGGCATGTCCCATTAGCCTACTCTCATCATCTCATCTTTTGGTGGTTTCCTTTTATTTATTTAATTTTTTTAAATGTTTCTTTATTTTTGAGAGAGAGAGAGCATAAGCAGGGGAGAGAAGGAGAGAAGGAGACAGACAATCTGAAGCAGGCTCCAGGCTCTGAGCTGTCAGTGCAGAGCCCGATGAGGACTCTGTGAGATCTCTGTGAGATCACGACCTGAACCAAAGTCAGATGCTTAACCAACTGAGCCACCCGGGACTTCCTGGTGGTTTCCTTTTAACATAGGGAAGTACATGGGGACCATTTTTCCATTACACGGCGAGTCTAAAGCCAGCTTTGACCAAGGCAGAGATGAAGTTAAGATTAGGATTCCAGATCTCCTACTTTCCAAATCTTTACTTAATATCTTTCTCCTTAAGGGTCCTAAGCCAATGTTGCCCTTTTGTTGAGGAAGGAGAATGGCATAGAAAGAAATGATTTTCAAAATAGGGCCTTGAGGCAAATTATCCTGGGTGGAAAGAGACCATAGTTGGATCATGTGGGCCTAGGGCTGAAGGAGCTAGATTTTCATGCGGCTCCAATGTACATCTCCTCTGTTATCTGACCTCTTCTGGCTGTCAGGGTGCACAGGGTGGGGAAGAGTTGGAAAGAAGAAGAGAGGTATAAGAGAAGAGAAGGGAGTGGCCTGGCATATAATATAGGTATTTTAGGGACCTTTGGGAGAAGTCCAGCAGTGATTAAGCAGAAGGGTGGATTTCAAGGGGATGACTCCAACTGGCAAAGAGAAGGGGTTTAAACAGATGAAGATGGAGATGATAGGCATCAAGTGACAGGCACAGGTTACTAATGACAGAATCCGGGAAAGTTGTTCCAGTTGGTTGTCTGGACTCCCTGAACGTGAACAGTGGCTAGAACAAGGAGAGGGGGGTAGAGTGAGATGCCTTCAATGCCAGCCAAGAGTTTCATCTCCCAGAAACTCTTAACCATTTTGTGACTGTGGGCGGGTTACTCCTTCTGTCTGGACTCGAGTTTCCTCATCTGTGGGAGGGGTCAGGCTAGAATTAGGAGGACAAAGGGGTGAGACTTGCTTGATTGAATATAGTCGCTGCCTGGGCTGTTGCTCGGAGAATAGTTCTGAGACCATGTCATGAGCAAAGGAGAAAGAAGGTGGCCTATGGATGCCAATGTTTACTTTTCTAAGACTAGATAATTCCTCATGGTCCCTTCTAGCTCTGGCTGCTAACTGTGACTACTTGGGAGCTCACTTTGTGTGCCTATAGCTTACAGTGATGATAAGGAAGAGGATGATGATGTGATGTGATGATGACGGTGATGAGGGGGAGGAGGATGGTGTTATCTCAGGGACCCCTTTCCTGGATGCTTACTATGTGGAGGAAGCTTGTGAACACCATCTCATTTTTTCCTTTATAACAAATCTATAAGGCAGGTGTTATTTCCTTTTTACAGATGAAGAAATTGGACCCCTAAAAGATGAGATACTTGTCTATGGTTGCCTAGTGATGAGTGTTAAGCTGGAACTCATACCCAGTCATATCTGACTCCAAGCCTAAATTCCCATCCACTGTGCTCCTCTGCTTCTTTAGGACTTGGTGATGTCTTTTGAAGACTAAAGTCCCTTCATGATTCCTTCTAGGAACAGGCAGCAACATGTGCTACATGGAGGAAATGAAGAACATCGAGCTGGTGGAAGGAGACGAAGGGAAGATGTGCATTAACACCGAGTGGGGAGGGTTTGGAGATAATGGCTGCATAGATGACATCCGGACGCAATATGACGAGAAGGTGGATGAGGGGTCTTTGAACCCTGGCAAACAGAGGTGAGGAGGGCAGATGTGTGTATTTATGCATGTTGTGCTGTGTATGACATTACCAGCTCTGGGGGAGGGTACTATGTTCATATCATAGACAGTACAGCTTTGTATTTTTATTACAACTCTCCATCAGAGGTCAGTGAAGTGTCTTACTAGAACAAAAACAAAACACAGGGCAAGTTCCCAACAAGTGGAAAGGAGCGGTACCTTTTTCTAATTACCATAAGGTGACATAAGGTCTAGTGGTGGCTTTGGAAGTGATTCAGAGATGGTTACAAAGTCCATTCACCGTGGGCCAAGTGTCACAGAGCAGGGGAATGCTGACTTAGTAGGCCCTCTCAGGGTGGGCTTCTAGTAAATCCAGTTTAGGGGTCAACATCCTCAGCCTTTCAAGAGCTGGCTGCCACTCTGGTGACTTCTGTTGCAGTTGGGGGTGGGGGTGGGGCAGCAAGTGATGGATGGGAGTACTGGTTCTTAGTCATGATGTCATGTCCCACCATGGGTCACAATCACTTGTGAGGTATGTTCCAGTTACTAGTCATACTAAAAATACTGAAAGCAATGAATGATTCTTTAAAAAAAATAGAGTACATTTTCACTTGTGTTTTCATTGAGCTTCCTGATTAAGAGAGAAAGCAGTGGGTAGAATAGAGGTAACATGCTAGGAATTGATAATTAACCCAGGCCCATCCGTGGCAGCAGGTGTTGGCAAACTTTTTCTGTAAAGGACCAGATTGTAAATGTTTTACTATCAGGCCATATGGTGTTTGTCACAATGAAACTCAGTATCTTAATATATACAATAAGATGAAAATATAGATTTATCATGATGATGATATCCACGTGGAGAAGTTGAACAGATAGGACATGTAATGAGATACCTGGGCCACAGATGCCTTGGTAACTAGGGAGCTGAGAACACTGTACAGGAAGATGCTTGGGCAAGGCCAAGACCAGCCTTAATGGTCCTGGTCTTCCTTTGGCACGAGTCTCTGTAGCTGAGAGGAAGGTGAGTTGTGGTCAGCCCAGCTGAACCAGGGGTTGATCCAAAAAGAAGGAACCTTGTCTCTGAATCCCAAGTTGGGGCATTTGAGTATCATGGCTCTTCTGAAGGGGCAAGTTCCTTCTGACTCAGTTTTGTGTCTGAATCCACTGGAGGCTGACATTTTTAGAGTGAGAGTTTGAGGGGGCAACACATTTGAATTTGCCTTGCTGTCACCATTATTTGTCTAAGTCTTGGTTTCTTAGACTGATGAGGTCCCAAGCAGTTAAGCAAGTACAAGTCCAGCACGTAAGTCTCAGGTATACTCAGCTTTCCACTTGACCCTGCAGGAAGTGGCTGTCTAGCTCCACATCACTGTTATTAATACTGTTGCAGATGCCTGTGCAAAGTGTCTGGTCAGTGCCTGTTGGTTACAGAGCCCCCTTTCCTCTTGTTCCTTCCCTCATGGAGTTCATAGCCTGGTAGAAAGGGGGAGGAGAGCCAATATTTTTAAAGAACCCCTGGTGTGCGCATTTTATTATTTCATGGAGAGAATCTCTAGTGAATCTCTAGATTTCTCCAAATACAAAGCCAAGGGGAATCTAGTAGACCAGATTTATAATACAAAGCCAAGGAGAATGGGCTTTGGGACCTGACAAGGGACTCACTTTTTGCTCAGTGCCTGCTCTGCGCCAGATGCTGGCCTCCCAATACTCTTGTGGGACCAGGAGGGAGTTTGCTCCCTGTTTTATAGATGATGGCTTACAGTGCTTGCTCAGGTCGTACGGTTAGTATGTGGGAGAGCTGGGCCTGGCTTCTTCCTGGTCAACATGGCTCCAAAGACTGGCTTTCTCACATCATGCAGACTTCTACATTGCATTTCTCTGGATCTACAGCCCACTCTGAACCACTCCAAACCAGGCAGTTGTTGGATGCCAATGGGCATACCTTCCATACCCAGACCCGTAGTCCTTTTGTGAACCACTCACCAGTGCTGATTTTCCTGCTCTTACCAATCTTATCTCTATTCTCCAAATAGATATGAGAAAATGACCAGCGGGATGTACCTGGGGGAGATTGTGCGGCAGATCCTGATTGACCTCACCAAGCACGGTCTCCTTTTCCGTGGGCAGATTTCAGAGCGTCTCCGGACCAGGGGCATCTTTGAAACCAAGTTCCTGTCCCAGATTGAAAGGTGATGTGTGAGCAGGTTCACCTGCTTGGTGTGAGAGGCACTGATTGGGATGTGCTGCTGTCATGCTGGGGTCCAGCAGGCTTGAGATTTAAAAATAAAAACAGTAAGGGCCTGGCTGGACAAGGGGTTTCCTCCTAGAGCTGCTCTGTCTCTCAGCTGCATCAGGACCACAGGACACAACTGAAGGGCCAGCTGCATGCCTGGGCCCTGAGGTTCCTAAACTGTTACACAGGACTTAGCTTAGGCTGAAAAATGATCCTCTCTTGTTCCTAAAAAGATGATGTGTCCATAATATGAAAGAAAACTCTGTAAAAAAAAAAATCACCTCTATGCTCATGACCAAATATAGCTGTTTTGATCTTTACATGTTCCCTTTCAAATTTTTAAAAGTGTGTAAACATATTTGCATAATTGCAATCATACTACACATATAACTCTGTATATTGTTTGTTCAGTGATTGTACAGGACAATTGTCAGTTATAATTCTGGTTTCTATTTTATGATTTATTATGAAAAGTTCTTTTTGCATTTTTTAAAAAACATTTATTTATTTAGTTTTGAGAGACAGAGACAGAGCACGAGCAGGGGAGGGGCAGGGAGAGAAGGAGACACAGAATCGGAAGCAGGCTCCAGGCTCCAGGCTGTCAGCACAGAGTCTACACGGGGCCCAAACTCATGAATGGCAAGATAATGCTCTGAGCCGAAGTCAGACACTCACTGACTGAGCCACCCAGATGCCCCTGAAAAGTTTTAAACATAGAAGAATAGAGGGAATGGTAAAATGAACTGACTGTTTGCATCACCACCTTCAATAATGATCAACTCATGACCAAACTTGGTCATTGATATACTCCTGCTTTTCCCACCCCTAAACTGGATGAATTTGAAACAAATCTCACATTTAAAAAAAATTTTTTTTTAACGTTTATTCATTTTTGAGAGACAGAGAGAGACAGAGCGTGAGCGGGGGAAAGGCAGAGAGAGGGGGGAGACACAGAATCCAAAGTGGGCTCTAGGCTCCAAGTCCTGATGTGGGGCTGGAACCCATGAAACATGAGATCATGACCTGAACCGAAGCTGGACGCTTAACTGACTGAGCCATCCAGGCATCCCAAAACAAATCTCACATTTTATGTGAGTTTATCTGTAACTATTTAAAAAATTTTTTTTAATTTTATTTTTTATTTTTAAAACTTTACATCCAAATTAGTTAGCATGTAGTGAAACAATGATTTCAGGAGTAGATTTCTTAGTGCCCCTTACCCATTTAGCCCATCCCCCCTCCCACAACCCCTCCAGCAACCCTCAGTTTGTTCTCCCTATATATGAGTCTCTTCTGTTTTGTCCCTCTCCCTGTTTTTATATTCTTTTTGTTTCTCTTCCCTTATGTTCATCTGTTTTGTCTCTTAAAGTCCTCCTATGAGTGAAGTCATATGATTTTTGTCTTTCTCTGACTGACTAATTTCACTTAGCATAATACCCTCCAGTTCCATCCACGTAGTTGCAAATGGCAAGATTTCATTCTTTTTGATTGCCGAGTA